GAAATGGCTCAAGTAAGTTTATTATCGACATCACAAAGCCAAAAACTTCTTTTTTCAGTTAAATCGACATTCATTTCATAAAGAATATCCATCTTATCTACAACCGGAAACTATGAAAAAAGAATTTTCAAAATCGAAAATATGGACGAGCGGAAGAATTCAAATTGAGATTTTTTTTTCATAAATTTCGTCACTTTTTCTTATCTCATAGGTCCCATTATTCTCGCTGATCTCATCGTTTTCTTTTTTGCTGATCCCATTCATTCATTTGTATCACACCCCTCATTTTCGTTCCGATTTCCTATTTCTACATTTTAATCAATGTTTTTCTTTTTCTCATACTTGTTCTGTTTTCTTTTTTAATAAATTTTATTATAAATAAAGTGAATGGCGTTGAAAAGAAAACAAAATTTGAAAAGCGCGCGCTACGATGCTCCGAAATCCCGCTGGTCTGTTCGGAATTAGATCTAATTCGTTCGTAGTTCATTCGGTGTTCGTTCGGAATTAGATCAGCTAAATTCTGTATTAGATCATGCCACTTCTATTTACGAACGAACCCAGATCTAATTCCGAATGAAGTCAGATCTAATTCAGAATCGTTTACCTGAGTTCTGGTTTTCAAAATTGCATTTTTGCATCATTTTTCCCAATTTTTGTTCCAGAAAATCATTTTCACTCGCAGAATATGCTGACGAATCCTTTGAAGAGAAGTTACCATGTATTCCATCATCATCAAGCACGAAACCCTTCGAAACCGACATTTCTACTGTAGGAACACGATGAAATTTGTTTCCGAACGAATACAGATTCTGAAGACTAGGGAATTAGCCAAGACGAAGAAAACTAGTTCTAGTCGACGAATGACAGCAGACAGCGAAATTCTATGGAAAATTCCGAGCTCTGACACAAATTTGAACAATTTGATACAAAAATGGCTGATTTTCAGACGAAAAGTCAGTTTTCGGCACCAAATTCCACGAATTCTTGTTGAAAAGCTAGCAATTCTTCTTTGAAACACTTTCTTCTTCTCAATTCTTCTTTTGACCAAAATTCCAGTCCGAAAATCGATAAAATCGAATAATTTCCCAATTTTTGACTTGAAAAAACGGAAAATTCGACGAAAACTCGCGGAAATCTTACTGAGAACTTGACAATAATCCTAGAATACCCGACAGAAGCCTTCCTCGACAACTTTCAGCAAGCAAGTTACGATTTTTGCCCGAAAACACGAAATTCATCAATTTCTCACACAAAAATCTTTTGAAAACCAGTGAAATCCTCTCAGAATCCACAATTTCCTCCGAATACTTGCACACTCCTTTGACAACCAATTGAAAATTGATTCGGCAATTTTTCAGCAGGAATTATCGATTTTTCGACGAAAAATCGACTTATAGCACTTCCTCAGTCGGAAATCCTTCCAAAACTCGGCAGTTCTTCTCACAGACGATAGCGAATCGTTCACCACTTCCTTCCACTTGCTCGAAACGTTGATTCCAGCACAAACTCCTCCGATCCTTAGCTAATCGAGCTAATTTCACTCCCACAAATTGAGAAAAGTGGCTAGAAGCTGCCGGTGCCCGGACAGAACGCCTTCTCAGTGAAAATCGATAAAAACGGCAAAGAAACGGGTGAAAACGACAAAGAAACTGATAGAACGAAGCAAACAAGAGCAAAGAAGCGATAGAACGTAATCAAGTAGAAGATTCACACAAAAGACCGAAAAAGTCCCGGAAAAAGCCTTCGGCCCCCAAGTCATGTAACTGAAAGAACTCCCAGAAACACTAACTGCTAAAAGACACTATTGAAAACAACGAGATGCAGAGAGAGAGAGTGAGAACCACAGACAAACGCTATGCACTCACAGAACCTCTGTGCACTCAAAGAGACCTGTGTAACCTGAAGACTAGAAGAATACAAAACACAGATTTCCTATAAAACACTATTTATTGAATTTACTCAATAAACCACTATAAAACCTTTAAAACCAGTGTTCGGGGGAGATTTCTCTCCTTTAGACTTGGAAAGAGGATTTTAAAAGAGAAAACACGGTAGAATACCGTACACATTCACAGAATTTTCCAAAAAATCCTAGTTTTTCAGCTATTCGCCAATTTCCGAAAAACGCCCGTTTTGGTACTGAAATCCTGAAAATAACAGGGTTCTGAAAGAAATCGGCAAATAGCTGAAAAACTGAAAGTTTTTGAAAATTTCCTACAAACTCAAAGTTTTTAATCTAGGTATTTCAATCTAGGTTTAAACTCTCCAAAATTTTCAAAGGGATTGGAAACTTGACAGCCGAGATCTAACCTCCTGAAAATGGTGAAAATCGTCTTATTGACCAGTAGAGTACATATTTTTTTTAAAAAAACATTCAAAAAACAATAAAAATTACCTGAAAAGTCAAAAAATAAAAGCGAAACGTGCCAAGTCTCAAACTCTTGAAAATCAATAAATAAATTCCAATAGCGTTCAAAACAATTGAAATTGCTCCAATCAAATCATAGTAAAGAATTAGCCATTCAGGTTCGGAAAAATCGATTTGCATCGTCTTGAAATTTGGAGATTTCAAGACAAATGTGTGTCTAGGGGGAGCAGATGAAAAATTCAGAGTTTCTGAGAAGGAGTGAAAATTAAAAAAAAAAAACTAACTTTTGGTCTCTAGGACATCAGCTGAAAATAAAATGATGAATTTAAAAAGTAGTGATGTTGGTTTTGAAAGACAAATATTGTAAAAATTAGGTTTAATAAAATAATATTTGATTTCGTGAGCTTGATTTTCAGAAGTTGCATGGTGCAAGGGTGGAATGAGGTAAGAAGATGAATTGAATTATGGAATTATTGAAAAATGGAAAATGGGCGTAGCTGAATAAATCGAATAATCCTTCAAAACTAGATTTAGGAGTTTTGAAGGTTAAGTAAAAAAACTGTGATTTTCAATTTAATTCGAAAAAGTGCCGAGACTAGGCCAAAAATGAGTGGTGCCACTTCAAAAGTGAGTATCTCGTTATGTTAGATTACTACAGATAAGTTGTCGACTACAAAAATGAAGCTCTAGTTTTGTTTAATATACTCTGAAATTTTCAGCCAAATCGAGAAATACTGGACTACTTTTACCGGACTCCAAAGTCGACGTTTTCCCTTTAGAAAAGTCAAAAATTATTTGTGTCCTGTAATAATGAGTTTTCATTATGGATATTTTAAAAATTTATTCATAAAGTAGAAGTGGTGAAGTTCCGAAATCTACATAGTTTCTTCTCTGCAAAAATTTCATATCGTGCGTTTTGTGTAATAATCATAAACTTCAAGGAAAATTTATTATTTTTTAAATTTAAATATAAAAAATGATATCCGGCGATCAATTGGTTTTGTCTGGTGATCATTTCACTGAAATCAGAAAAAGTAGAAATCGTTAATTAACTTCTTTGAGTTTACGTTTTCCTTATCTGTTCAGTTTCGCATCGCACGGATCGCTGTTTAGATCGTTATCCAGTTAAACAGATATTTCTATCGATTTCCTGGAGATTCTCATCTACCTGTAACATGAAAAATTTAAAAAAAATGTTGAATTGTTTTCAAAGAATGTTTTGGTCATGCTAGCTGAAATTACTGAATAGCCTGTAAATTGATGAAGCTCCCTTATTTCCTCTAATAGAAGCCCGCCCACCGTCATCTTTGAGCTCAATTATCTTGATACCTGTGGAAATTATGAAGAACTTGTCAAGTGATAAGTTGTTTATAATAAAATTATCTATATTTTATCAGTTGACATATTTTTGATATCTCTTATAGGGCCCCAGATAATTAAGCTCGAAGTTGACAGTTTGGGTGTGCGACTACATAGATCAAAATTGGAAATTTAAAACCGTAAGCTGGAGCGTGATAAAATTTTAAAAATAAAATCATGAAATTTACCTTTTTTCTGAGTCATAGGCGTCCTCTTCCATTTCCTCATCTTGTTTACCCAGCCATGGAACTGTGTGACTTGTCTCCATCCTCCATATTTTCTACAATAACCGATTTTCAAAAAAAAAATATTTGTTTGTAATTGAAGACTCACCTGCGATGACCTTCTTGGCTTTTGGAGTTTCTCCATTTCCTCGATTTCGTCGGTGGCCGATTTCTACGGATTTCTACATTTTTCTTCCAAAGTTTATACATTTTCTTACCTTGCAATCTCCAGAAAAAAGAAACAATTTACAAATTATTAGAAAAATTAAAAAAATAGACTCTATTCATTTTTAAATGTCTAGGAATACAGAAAAAAGATAGAATTTCAGGAAAATAAAAATTGTTAGGCGCGCACATTGCGCCATGTTGAGAGTAAAATAGAATGGATTGGAAGGACGGCTGGCGAACGGAAAACGAGGGAACATAGAAGCTAGGGACAACAGAGAAGGAGGAGACGCAGAAGTTTGAGGATTTCCATTCTGTGAAAACGAGAGACGCAGCATTTTCCTGGTAGTGCAAGGCTGCTGCTTTGGTTGACACATCATTGCGAACAGGTGCCTAACAGTGCGGCAGTGCGCTTCACGACCGCTCCGCCAACACGCGACACGTGCAAATTTGGCTCGGTACCAAATTTCAAATCGTGGACTGGTGATAAAACTACCTCTATTTGAAGGCCATTATGAAATTTTGAAATTCTGAAATTCTGAAATTCTGAAATTCTGAGATTTTGAAATTCTGAAATTCTGAAATTCTGAAATTTTGAAATTCTGAAATTTTGAAATTCTGAAATTCTGAAATTCTGAAATTCTGAAATTCTGAAATTCTGAAATTCTGAAATTCTGAAATTCTGAAATTCTGAAATTCTGAAATTCTGAAATTCTGAAATTCTGAAATTCTGAAATTCTGAAATTCTAAGTTTGAAATTCAGAAATTCTGAAATTCTGAAATTCTGAGATTTTGAAATTCTGAAATTCTGAAATTTTGAAATTCTGAGATTTTGAAATTCTGAAATTCTGAAATTCTGAAATTCTGAAATTCTGAAATTCTGAAATTCTGAAATTCTGAAATTCTGAAATTCTGAAATTCTGAAATTCTGAAATTCTGAAATTCTGAAATTCTGAAATTCTGAAATTCTGAAATTTTGAAATTCTGAAATTCTGAAATTCTGAAATTCTGAAATTCTGAAATTCTGAAATTCTGAAATTCTGAAATTCTGAAATTCTGAAATTCTGAAATTCTGAAATTCTGAAATTCTGAAATTCTGAAATTCTGAAATTCTGAAATTCTGAAATTCTGAAATTCTGAAATTCTGAAATTCTGAAATTCTGAAATTTTGAAATTCTGAGATTTTGAGATTCTGAGATTCTGAGATTTTGAGATTTTGAGATTCTGAGATTCTGAGATTCTGAGATTCTCGAATTCTGAGATTCTCGAATTCTGAGATTCTCGAATTCTGAGATTCTCGAATTCTGAAATTCTGAGATTATGAAATTCTGAGATTTTGAGATTCTGAGATTCTGAGATTCTGAGATTCTGAAATTCTGCGATTCTGAGATTCTGAGATTCTGAGATTCTGAGATTCTGAGATTCTGAGATTCTCGAATTCTGAAACTCTGAGATTCTGAAATCTTGGAATCCTGAGATTCTAAGATTCTGAAACTCTGAGATTCTGAAATCTTGGAATCCTGAGATTCTAAGATTCTGAGAATCTGAGATTCTGAATGTTTTCTGTAATTATAAAAGCATTTCTTTTCAAAAATTCCGCCTTTATTTTTATATTAAAATTCAAAATGTATTTTCTAATATCAGTATACTGTACAGCAAAGAAAAAGAATTAAATGACATAAAAAATTAGATCAAAATAGATTAGTGTTTCTAATAACTATAGTTAGTAAAGATATTCAAAATATCGGTATGCAATAAAAGTGAATATTTACAAAATTATTCAGTATTTGGAGCTTTAATCGACTGGAAATAGTCCTGAACTTCTGAAAGGTTCAATCCCAACGAATTGGAAATTGTCACAGATAATCCAGGACTCAAATTGGCACATTTTTCAAAAA